GATTTCGCACCTGGCTCCGTTTATGTATTTTTTATACGGCCAAAGATCTACACGTAATTCCGCGCATTGTTTGTAGGAGTGGTGACGACCACACTCATTTCAGATTTTTTTGCTGTCTCATTACTAAGTACTGCGAATATCGAGACTGGGGCCCGTTTTGCACGTGAATGTGTGCTGCAGGTGCGTGCGAGCACCCGTTAAATCGCCCCGTGGGCAGCCTGTTTTGCAAGCCGTGCGAGCTTGTTTGTTCGGGAATGTGTTGCGAAAAGTCTGTCCTTTTCTGCGCTCTCGCTACCTCGATTATCAGTGGTAATCACTTCCGCTCCGAACGAAGCTGCGAGCGACTTGCGTTTCGCCCCCGCTACGTGCACCCCAGACGCCGACAAGTAGAGGCGCGATTCAAGCTCATTCCCAGGAAGAGAGAGAGAGAGAGAGAGAGAGAGAGAGAGAGAGAAAAATACCCGAAGAGGTCCCCCCAGAAAGCGTAGAAGGGCCCAGTGGCAGCGCACCTGTTCCTCTCTCCCTGTTCGCCGTCTATTCTCGAATAGGGCCCTTGGCCTTGGAGCCGCGCAGAACGCCAGCACCGCGCTCGCCCCCGACAAATGCCATCGGTGCTGCGCGCCAGTCCATATCACAAAAGTTGCATTGTAGCGGTGCATCTGGGCCCCCATATGAGCTTCTGGGATTTTCTGGGGGTTTCATTGGCAGAAGCATTTGTTCGGGCGAGGGGCCTGCATGTCTATGACTGCGAGGGGTCGAGTGGGGAACAGAACCACGGATAACACATAAATGGCCTCCATCGCGAAAGATAGGCGGTTTCAAGTTGGCGTTCTCGTCGGCGCTCTGATTGGCGGGCGGGCGCGCCTGCCTTCAACTTGAAATCTCGCGTGATTTTGGTTTCCAGCTCGAGGCATGGTGATGTCAAAATTAGGTCGGGCTGCGTCGAGGTTGTCGTCGATGGTCGCTTGCCCCCATTTGGTCGTGAGTCGTTGCATGTTGTTTTTTGTTGTCTGCCTTGTTGTTGCTGTTTTGTATTATTTGTTTGTTATGTTTTTGTTGTTGTAGCCGTCGTCCTTGTCGTCGTTGTCTCCGTCGGTGTCTGCGCCCTACTCGCGGACGGGTGCTTTCGCAGTGGATTTAAATTCATGGATTGTTTTTGGTAGTGGGCCCGAAGCACGACGGTGTGCACAAATTGGGAAGGCTTGCGTCGTCGTTGTCGTCGTCGTCTTCGTCGTCGTCGATGGTCGTTTGTTTTCCGTGGGCCGCGACCCGTCGGTTGTCGACGTGGCGTTTGTTGTTCAAGTTGTCGGTTGTTCGCGTTGTCTTATTCGTCGTCGACGTCGCCGCCGCCGTCGTCAGCAGTTTTCGCGGACGGGCGCGTCTGTCTTCAAATTGAAATATCGGGGTGTTTTTGGTTGTCAGCCCGAGGCGCGGTGCTGGCGCAATTAGGTCGGATTGCGCCGGGGTTGTCGTCGATGTTCATTTGCTTTCTCTTGGCCGCCACTCGTCGGTTGTTCTTGCTGTCTGCGTTGTCGTCGTTGTCGTTGTGGTTGTAGCTCCCGTCCTCGTCGTCGTCGTCGTCGCATTCGTTGTCGGCGCTCTACTCGCGGGCGGGCGCGTTCACCGTGGATGTGAAATCATGGACTGGCATTAGCAATGAACTCGAGGCGCGGGGGTGGGCCCAATTGGGGCGACTTGCGGCGTTGTCGTCGTCGTCGTCGTCGTCGTCGTGGATGCGGTTTGTTATTCGGTGGTCGCGCGCCGCCCGCTGCCGTCGGTGCCTTCGCTGTTGTCGTTGTCGGTTGTTCGCGTTGCCCTCGACGTCGTCGACGTCGCCGTCGCCGTCGTCGCGTCGGCAGCTGTATTCGCTGGCGGGCGCGTCTGTTTTTTAGTTGAATTCTCAGCGTGCAATTTAATTTTCACCCTGAGGCATGGGGATGGTTTGTGTGCGTGGTTTTGAAAGTGTTTCCGTGCGTGGTCATGTGAATGGATGCGAGGATGACGACCAGCGCTGGGATAGAGGGGGGCGGGGAAACAGAAGGGTGGTCTGAGGGCGGGGGTGGGGCTGGAGGAGGTTAGAACGGCGGCTGAAGGGTTTTCAGGCACTGCTAAAGGGTGCTGGGGTTGGGGGGGATTGGAGGAAGGGATGGGCAAATGGTGTTCTCGCGAGGAAGTGGCGGGAGTCGCGACTGGTGGTCGCTCTTGGCTGTGCCAAAAGTTTAGTCGACGTTTGCATATTCATCTTGCGCCGGTCATCTCGGGATTTGCTGCTATTCTGGATCTTAGTGTCTCGGCGTTGGGCGTCTGCTCATTCGCGATATTTGCCGCTGCGCGACTCCCTGCCGTAAACGAGGGATGTTCTGGAAGGGCGACGTGCGCGCGTAGAGATCGGGCGGCGTGCCTCTTCAGTCGACGGGCCCCAGTGGCGCTGAGAAAATTATCGTCAGGATGGGGCGTTGTTCTGATGCGTTTGGGTGATCCGTGGGCTTCCCGGAGGGTCCGGATTCGAGGGGGTTCAGCTTTCAGGATTCCTGGGTTTTGCTCCCCAGAGATACTGGGTTTCGGTTTCTGGTTCAGGGTTTTGGCCGAATCTGGGTTTCGCCTCGTTCTGTATTCAGGTTTCGGCACAAAAAATTCAGGGTCTCACGCTCTGACTGTTCTGGGGCCTCTTTGGGAGTTTTGGGCGGCTCTTGGGGGTCTCGCGGTGCCTCCTGGGGAGACTCGGATGTTCGGTTCGTGTCCCCCCCCTCTTGGGCCTCCGGGGCCGTCTTGGATCCCTCCTGGGCCGCCCAGGGCCCTTGCGGGGGCTTCTTGGGCAGTCCGGGGGCGGTTTCGGGGGCCTTCGGGGTCGTCTCGGAGCGTCGAAGCTCGACGAGCCGAGTGCGCCCAAACACAGGAATACCGTTGGGAAGTCTATGCTTTAGCCTCTCGGGGCCCTCTTAGTAAGGCTCTTGGGTCGCCTTGGGGCCATCTTGAACGTCTTGGACCCACTGATAGCGATGCGTGGCCCTCTGGGTTTGTCATTGGGGGCCTCTCAGGACCCTCTTGGCCCGTTTGGGGGCCCTCTTGGGCCTGAGAAGGTCATGCGAGAAAACGCCGCGATACCCGGGGGTCACGCGACGCGCCCCAGAAGATTTGACACATTGGGGTCTGGGCCCCTTACGAATCCTCAGGATTGATGATTGAGGTTCCCGGGAATTCAACGCGGGCCTTGAGGGCGCGCCCATTCGTGCCACGAGGTCACGTGAAGCTGGGGACGGGGCCAAGATTTAGGACCCGTTTCCCTGTGGATTTTTGTTCTAGGTCCGAAGTGAGGGGTGTTGTGTTCCCGTTCAGGTCTGGGGCCTTGTGCGAGGATGAGAGGGTCGGGGGAAAGATTGAGGACCGAGCCGTACGATCGGTAAGTACCCGAGTTCTTCACCCGCACTGCCTGTGGCCTCGGGGCTCGCGCCGTCGGCCGGCCGCGCACCGTGCGCTGCGGCTGGGCAGCGGCCGAGCGACGCGGGGCTCTCCCACGGGCGCTTGCGGGGAGGGAGAAGAGGAAGGAACAGGATGAGGAGGGGGAAGAGAAGGAGGAGGAGGAGGAGGAGGAGGAGGAGCAGGAGGAGGAGGAGGAGGAGGAGGAGGAGGAGCAGGAGGAGGAGGAGGAGGAGGAGGAGGAGGAGCATGGGAAGTGAAAAAAAAGAGGAGGAGAAGCAGGACATGGAGGAGGAGGAGGAGGAGGAGGAGGAGGAGGAGGAGGAGGGCGAAGGAGGAAGAAAAGGGGGAGGACGACTATTTATCAGGAGTAGCACGGGTGCGGCGGCTGGTGCTTCTAGGATCGAAGAGGAAGCGAATGGATGAGACAGACGAGGGGAAGATGTCGCGATGGTGCTGAGGCGGATGACTGGTGCCAACCCAGGATGCATCATCGATGCTGCAGTGCGCCTCTCCGTCCCGAGTGCCGTCCACATTCGTTTTGGGAAACTGTCCTTTTCACAGGAGGAAGCGTCCCGCTTTGAACCGAACGAAGGAAGAGCGACACCAACACCACCAGGGAGCATAACCAGGAACAAAAAATTACCATGCGGCCGCGCGCCCAACTTGCCCGCGTACGAATCGGGAGGATCGTGGCAGCGTTGAGGAGTGGCTGTTTCCGAGTGGCAGAGGGGCCTCAGCCTGGCGTCTGACAAATCAAACGTGGGGGGCTTGACGCTGCTGGCTGGGTTTTCGTTGCGCTCACCGGCGGGGGCGTGGTGAGCTGCCCCTTGGGTCTCGGGGACCCAATCGGCCTGCCCGGCGGAAGGGCCCCTGTTGGTGTTGATCCTCCCTTTGTTCGGGACATCTTCGCACTCGGGCTTGGGTCCCACAATGGGTAGGGCAGGGGAGTCGCCGATAGAATTCAGAGGGGTGGGGGATTGTACAACATGTACTGCACCAGCTGTATTTCGCAAGGTAGATTGCACCACGTAGTTTGCAACATATAAGTGTCCCACATATATTGCGCACCATGTGTTATAATGTTTCATTCATTTTTTAATTATATAGTATATATCACGCACATATGGGTTCGCGATGGCTAACATGCTCAAGGTTCTCGTGTGCAAGGATGTAGAGAAGTCGAACTAAACAACAGTTGTGACTGGAACCGTCCTTCATCACCGCAACGTGCTGCGGCACTTCGTGCGAATGTGCACCGACTCGTGCTCCACATGCGGAGGGCGCGAAGGGGGACGAGGACGAGGAGTGGGAGATTTTAGGTTCGGTCAGGCGTGTCCTCCTACAGGCAGATTTTGGGCGAATGTGCTGCTTATATATATATATATATATATATATATATATATATAACTAACAGCAAAAAAAACCATACATACACCAAACTAGCCAAAACATAGTTAGCACCCATCCATTTGTTTGATGATTTTTGCGTATGCCTCCTGTAGAGGGACAGGCCCGTCTTAAGATTGAGGAGAGGCAGAAGGAAGAGGAGTATGCCTCCTCCGGCCCCGCGCCGGGTGCAGGCTCCGCCCTCGGGGGCACCAACCCTGCCGGCCTGGACCCGCTGCTCAAGCCGCAGCACCCGAGGCAGCCAGACGACCAGCTGGTCCGCCCTGGGCGGCGAGTCTACTAGCTCGGGCATGTCCCCCTACCGGCGGGTCTTGGGCGAAAAGTTGAGATATTGAAACATATTCAGAACATTGGAAAGTATGCTCAACATATCGTCCCCATGTTATTATTTGTCTAGCTTGGAAGATCCCTCCTGTAGAGGGTCAGGCCCGACTTGACGCTACGGTCCAGGCGACGGTGGGTCGGTGGCGTGGTCGTCGGGGCGGTCGGCGGTCGCGGCAGTGGCGGTCTCGATGTCCGAGGCAGGAGAGAGCGCCCGCGGAGGCCATTTCTCGGATGGGTCCCCCGTCGAGGTTTGGGGTGGCCGCGGCGCGGGACATGCGTTGCTTCTCCGCGTCGGTGTGAAACTGATAATGAATTTGGCCACGGTTTGGGGAGGGTGGTATAGCTTCAGCGTTTTCATTTACTCACGTTTATGTATATATGTGTGTAAATATGATTGTGTATATATATATATATACATAAATGCATGTGTATACATATATATACACACACACACACCTTTTTTTGTGTATATATACACTTATGCGCAGTTACGTATCACTATAACACAGGTATATATATATGTACGAGGAACTTGATACTGCGGATCATATTGGGGAGATGTTGTTGCCGGGCGGGCGAGGTGGTTGAATGACATGGTGGCGATGAGGTCGGCGATGACGATGTATTTGGCTGGTGATGAAGGTATCGGGGGTGATCCGGGAACCGATGACAAGGATGATGGTGGAGGTGATGCCGAAGATTTCGAGGATACTGCCGATGATGATGGTGGTGGTGATGATGGTAAGAATGCTGTTGCGGACGATGATAACGAGAAGGAGGTGAGGGAGGATTGTTACGACGAGTGTACAGATGACCATGTTGTTTGCGAAAATGATGAGGTTTTGTGATGTTGATGATGATTGCGGTGGTGATGATGGCAAGCCGGATGAGGGTGATGAACAGGACGTTCGTCACATTTTGCATGTCGTATTCTTTTCTTGAGGATTACTCCTGGAGCTCGGTTCAGCTGTCTTGAGCCTGTCCTTGGCTCCTGAGGGGCAGTCTTGGGAGTCCCTTGGTGCCTTCCTGGCGTCTTGGGAATATCTTGGGCCTTCTTGCGACCCTCTGGACCGTTTCGTGAGTCTCTTCGGGCCGTCGAGCGATCGTCTTGGTGCCGTTTGGGACCGTCAAAGGGCCCTCTTGGGTGGTGGTGGGTCCTTCCAGGAGTCCCCTTGGGCCAGCTTTGGGCTCCGTTGAAGTTGACTTGGGTGATTATTCGGCCATTTGAGGGCCTCCTTGGGCCGTTTCGAGGCCATCTTCGAGGCCTGTAGGCCCCAAAGCCCAGGAAGGTGAAGACGCGAAACGATTTCGCAGGCCAATGGACAAACACTGGGTTCGCCATCTTTGGGCCTCGCTGGGGGCCCTTTTGTTGCCCTCTGGGGTCGACGTGAGGCACCTTGAGCCGTCTCGGAGACATCATTTCCCGTCTTGGAGGCATCTTAGGCCATCTTGGCGGCCTTGGTGGCCTGCCCTGGTCGTCTTGGACGCTCTGAGGCGTGGACCCATGGTGTTGTTTTCATGAGAGCGTGGACTCGGGAGAGCGTGTCCATTTTCTCAAGAGATCGTGGTCTCGTGAGCGCGGACATGCCGTTTTCCGCAAGGGATTGTGGCTACGAGGCCGACGTTTAATGCATGTGTAGCGGCTCTATCTATGATGTTGTGAAGCGGAGCTTAGGTACCTGCATATGCACATGTAGATATACAAATGTATGTGTATGCGTATGTGCATGTGCAGGTACATGCTTATGTAGATGCTCAGGCATTTGTAGATTCGCAGGGGTAACTGTATTCATTTCTATGTATTTGCCTACGCAGGTCTTTGTGCATGCGTATATGTATACATAGTGGTGTATGTATATGTGTATATATGTGTATATGTGTAGGTCTATGTGTGTGTATATATATATATGTGTGTATGCATATGTACGTGGGCCTAGGTACACGTAAACACATTTGTATATTTGTATGTCGGATGTATGTACATGTAGGTATCTACGTATAAACATGTGCAGGTGTTATCATTCGCATGTGTATGTTTATGTAGCTGTACATGTATTTGCACGCATGTGTTCATAACTGTATGACCATGCATGCTATACAGTCATAGCTATATGTGTATATATATGATAGGGACACGTGTGTGTACATGTATATATGTATATGCATGTGTATGTGCATGCGCATCTGTATTTGTACATGCAATTATATGCGTATACGTATATGTGTATGTATATGTCTAGTCATCTGAGTTTGCATAGGCATACGTATATGTATACGTATATGTGTATGTATATGTGCGTGTGTCCGTTTATGCCACATCCGATGTCTATGTGTTTGTATTCGTGTCTTGATTATTGTTAGAGGTTTGTGTTCGCGTATTCGTGTATATATACACTGATATGTCCATATATACATATGTGCACGAACATGTCTCATCATATGTATATGTCTATGAGTATGTGCATGTGCCTGCATACGTGTCAGTGCATGTGTGTGAGTAGGTGTATGCCGATGATTGTGTATGCGTGTGCATGTGTATGGAGGTATGTATACAGATTTATGCATGCGTGCATGGATATTTGTTTACATGTTGTGCGATTATACTATAGAAAAGGGTCGTGGCCTTCGGTGCTGAGCCAACTGTCTCTTACGAGAGGAAAGCGAGTAACGATGTATGCCCTCGAGTGTGCTGAGTGGGGGGGGCTCAGATTAATACAGAAGCCCTGCGAAGCAGCCCGTGTCATTATACCGCGATTAAGCGTGCCTTGTGGCGCGCTGGCGGATCATGTTTCTAGGGAGAAGGGCAGGAGCAGGAACCGTATGTTTCTCGTGGGATGGGCAACGTTACTGGAATGCCAGTGTCCTGCGGAGCGAGGAGGAGGACCTGGCAGGAACAGGATCGAGGGAGTAATGCCAGTGTGTGAGTACAGTCGACCCGTATCATGAGGATGCGCCATGAGGATGCAAGGGCCTTGGGCGCCAATTCCGAAGCTTGTCGGGCGGGGCGCGACCAATAAGAGTGGCCAAGGATGGACCGAGGAGGCAAGGATGCAAGGGTGACCCTGGGGAAGTTGCTCATCCTTACCATGCGAGTTGACTGGCACAAGATGATTGGGCCCACTCATCAGAGGGCTCAGAGGCCCTGGGCGCGGGTTCCGCCACCCCGGGTGGTGCATCTGGCGGCCCTTCGGGTGGCAGTTCAGGACCGGGTGCGGGTTTAGCCCCCCCGGGCGCTGGCGTGTGTTCCATCCCCCAGCTTGCACCACCTCTCTCCGATTTCCCGGCGGAGGCCTCGGTCGGCGATGGGGTTTACAAAGCGAGGCGCGCTCGGTGCTGCCGCGTGGCCCGATCGTGGGCGAGGGGGCAGGCCGCGCAGCGCACCCGAGCGTTACACAGGCCTGCGCAGGGAAGCCTGGTGGTTTTGCGGGCGTTGTTTTTGATGGGCCTGTTTTCCAGCACCCCCACCACCAGAAGTTGGAGGCGGAGGGGGTCCTGCTTCTCGTCCTCGTCCTCCACCTGCTCCTCCTCTTCGTCCTCCTCCTCTTTTTCTCCTCCTCCTCGTCCCCCTCCAACTTATGGTGGTTGTTGTGGAAAACAGGCCCATCAGTTCTGTCGGTGAATCTGCGCCCGGGTCCGCGGGCCTGAGGCTGTGCGTGTGTGCGTGCGTTTGTGCGAAGGTGCTCAGGGGAGGAAGAGGTACCCACACCGCTACCCCTGGCTCGTGTGCCCCATCTCGGGCGTCCTGGGGTGCCCTCGGTGCCACCGCTGGATTCGTTTCGAAGTCATGGTCAACAATCGCACCCCGGGAGATGTTCGGGGAGTGGCGGCTATCGGTACCTTTTGATGTCAGTTGCAGTTGCAGAGCTCCTTTGTCGGTGCGGTGGTTGTGGAAGCAGCGGGGATCAGGCGGCGGTCGCGGCGGCAGGATCTACCTCCTGTATCTTGCCAGTGTCCGTGTTGGCCCAGTTTCTCTATAGTCGTGAGGCTCATGGTGTCGTGCCAGTCGGCTGCTTCCTGGCGTCCAGTCGTCCGCTCTGATGGGCCCAGGCCTGTATCAGACTGGCCCTCCGTCGTTGTCCGCTCAAAACCAACCAAGTTTTTGGACATCGCGCGAGCCTGGTGCTGCTGCTGCGAAATAACCAGCTGACATCAGGAAGGAGGGAAGGAGTTGTCGTCGCGACGACGGCGGCGACGATCGGGCGACGAAATTCTATGCACATCCACTGCTCCCTGGCCAGGCCCATCCTGAACCCCGGAGCTGTGTATGCGCCACGCCCTCCCGGCGTGGCCAGAGGGGCGTCATGCACAGCTTCTGTGTTCACCGTGGGCCGGGCCAGGGAGGAGGAGAAGGAGGACAAGGAGGAGGAGGAGGAAGAGGAGGAGGAGGAGGAGGAGGAGGAGGAGGAGGAGGAGGAGGAGGAGGAGATGGAGAAGTGGATGTGTACAGATTTCGTCACCCTGGACGACGCCGCCCCCGCCTCAGGTCGCGCGGTCGACCACGCTGCTGAGTTCGTTCAGCAGGAGCGGCTCCGGGTCGAAAGTGGGCAGGTGCCTGGGGCTTCCCTGTGGCGCCAGTCCGACCGCGGCGAGCGAGCCCGCGTGACTTCGCCCCCCCGCCAGCCTTCCTCCTGCTGCCACCGCTCTGACCACTTGCTCTGACCACTTGCGCCACTGACCCTTGATTAACCTATTGGTATGTGCCCGCGCGTGCTTGGCATGACTAGGATGCGCACGTAGTGTCAGGTTGTTCAAGGCGGCCTTCGTTCGTGTGTTTGGTCAGGGGGGGATCCTTCTGCCACATCTGGGCGCAGCTCGAACAATTGGCCATGATGGTGTCGAGGAGGGGTGTTGGGAATACTTTCTGGCGGCTATTAACGGACCGACCCTGACTTGAGGCATCGTGAACATATCGCGTCGGGGGCTCCACAATTTTTGGCGTTAAGTGCTGGGTTCCGAAAAGCTCTGGATGCCCAGTCGGTACAGGGGGAGGCATCGAAACCCACGGGACGGTATCGAACCTTTTTTGAGGTTTGGGTAATTCTCCTCCTTCCGCCTTATCCCCTTCGTCCTCCATTTTCTACGTCTTCCTATGTCGCGTTCTCCCCAGGAGGAGGAGGAGGAGGAGGAGAACAAGTAGGAGGAGGACGAGGCGGAGGCGGAGGCGGTGGCAGAGGCGGAGGCGGCAGCGGCTCCGGCGGCAGCGGAGGAGGAGGAGGAGGGGGAGGAGGAGGGGGAGGGGGAGGGGGGAGGGGGGGGGAGAGTTGAGGGAGGAGGACGAGGAGGAGGAGGAGGAGGAGGAAAGATAGGACCCCGTTGCGGCAGTCGCCATCGAGGATGAGTTCGAGGGGCAGGGCGCTGGAGGAGAAGGAAGTGGAGCAAGGGGAATATCGAGGAAGGGGGCTACACAATGAGAAAGAAGACGGGAGAGAAGAGGAGGAGGATGACGCGGGGAATAGAAATCACAATGAGAAAGAGGACGGGAGAGAAGATGAGGATGACGCGGGGAATAGAAATGACAAACCATCAGGAGAAGGGGGAGGCGGAAGCAGGACGGAGGATGTTCATCCTGCTTCTGCACCGGCAGGAAGGCAGAGGAGTTTTGGACGTCCCTCTCGGCAGACACAGGAATATACAAGGTGGACGTACTGCAGATCGACGAGCACGGCACCACAGGCGAGGACACCTCCCTATCCATCGGCAACGATGGCAAGCCCATGCCGAAGAACAGAGGAGGCAAGCTCCTCCACGCGTGCTTTCGAAAGCATGACATGACGGCGCTTGAACCGACAGTGCGCACGAGGGGACCCAACTACACTTAGAATATGCAAGGGGCAGCCGAGAGGATTGATCTCATAGCGTGCCACTTTACTAGATGCCTACAGCCACTGAGTCCAACACGGCCTGTACCATTGATATGCACTGGGAGGACGAAACACATTTGCTGGTAGTTTTCGAACAGAAGTGCATCAGCATGGCGAGGCAAACAGAGGCCACGCCAAGACTTGACCCACGCAAGCTCAATGATGCGGACCACATCAACTTCCTGCAAGAGAGAGAGCTCAACAATATCGATAATCATCCGTGGAGCATCGACCTCACCGCGCACGCCCACGAGTTGGCGGAACAAGGCGAGAAAGCATCCCAGAAGGCGCTCAAGCTGACCAGCATTTGACTGCACAAGCCATGCGTAACGGCACGGACCTTCGCATTGCTAGAAGTGAGTAGTGCGTTTCTCAGGTCTCACCGCCCCCGAAGGCATGAATGAGGGCACGACCAACGCCAGGATCCAAACTTCCAAACTCGCCTACCAACTAATGTCAGCCTGTGATTATCAAATCGCCCCCCCCACCGGGGCTGATGAATAGACCCCGCGGAGCGCGAAACCTTCTGTTTAATCAAGCGCGCCAAGGGGTCGTCGCGGGTGTCGCCGAAGGCGTGCATGGCAGCATCAAAACGATTGTTCCTCGTATAAGAATTGTTGTAGGGATCGCATACATCCGAGGCGAAGAGTTTCCCGTCTCGCGCAGGTTACTGACGTACCACAGTCGTCGCCGCCGTCGTCGTCGTCGTCGTCGTACCTGTCGTCGTCGTCGTCGTCGTCGTCGTCGTCCTTCATCGTCGACGTCGTCATCGTCGTCGTTTTCGTCGTCGTTTTCGTCGTCGTCGTCGTCGTCGTCGTTCGTGGTCGTCGTCCGTCGTCCGTCGTCCGTCGTCCGTCGTCGTCGTCGTCGTCGTCGTCGTCGTCGTCGTCGTCGTCGTCGTCGTCGTCGTCGTCGTCGTCGTCGTCGTCGTTGTCATCTTCGTCGTCGTCGTTTTTGTCGTCGTCGTCGACGGCGTCTTCTTCCATAAAAGCGCGCCTGCGCAGCACACCCATGTGGTATCCGCAGTGCGTCGTCGTCGTCGTCGTCGTCGGCGGCGTCGTCGTCGTCGTCCACGACTACGCTGGTCATGCGCACCACACCCGCCTCCCCCCCCATGGAGCATCTGCAGTGCGTCGTCGTCCGCCGTCTCAGTGGCCGCCGCCGCCGTCGTCAGTCGTCGTCGTCGTTGTCGTCGTAAAAGGGGTGCAGGTGCACGATGGGGACAGGGAGAACGACGAGCCCTTTCCGCGTGCCTCTGCCGCTCATCCCCCCCTTCTCCTGTCCTTGCTTGCAGCCGTGTCGGCGGCGCCCGCCCGCTGAGGCGCCTCCCCCCCCCCGCCTGTTTCCGGGCTGCCTGTCGCCAGTTGGGCCCGCGTGCCTCGCTGTAGCGCACCCCTCCGCTGAAGCGGCGCCGCTCGCATCGCGCCTGTCGCCCGTCGCCCTCTCGCCGGCGGCCGGGCGTCGGCCCTGACCGCCGGTGCCGCCGCCGTGCGCTTCCATTGTGGAGGCGCTACCCCAGCGATTCACCCGAGCAGGGGGGCGATGTTTGAATCGCGCGCCCGCCGCTTGTCAACAAAAAATCAAACAACTGTTTTTGTCAATGTTTACACATCTATATATAGATAGATAAGGACTCACAATATGACGTTAGAGAAGGCGATTATACCGACCGCGACGGTAGCGATAGTACTGCAGAGACACGAGGTCATTCACTCAGTTGATACGCAGCGCCGCCCAAGTCGCCGACTACAATGTCGACCCCTACGGGATGGCGCTTTCGACAGCAGTTTCCATGAACGTCTCCCGCGATGCTCGCGGATTCCATGGAGGAGGATCGCGCTGCGCTCCTGGACAACCGTGCCCAGAACATCGTTGACGGCATCTGCGGCCAAAAAACTACAACAGGAACTGGCCAACACTCGAAAGGGTGCTTTCAGTCAGAGGCAGGCCATGGTGGATAGCGCCAGCACGCCAACATTTAGACGACCGAAAAATATGCAAGCCCGAACAATAATATTGACCAGTAAGCTACAACCGAAGTAGATCAGTTTGCCATCGCCGAGCATTCGCATTCCAAGACCATGCATGAACTATGCGATCGGCGCAACAAGGTCGCCATGGACGCGATCATCCTTAAGGCCGTCATGGACACGCCGATCGAGAAAATCACCACGCGAGTCGAGTGGGAATTATGCATGGCAGTTGCCAGGAAGGGAAGACACGGATGACCGGATGGCATGCCCGACGACCGAGCAGCCCCCTCATCACTCAGGCGGCGCCCGCTACAGTCGAACCGCCATATCACAAAAGTGGACGGCGGACATCTTTCGCCACGACCGGTCACGTGAAACCATGCCGAGCGATCGGCAAACAAATTCATTATTTTCAGCAGCGTCACCGCCAAGCGCCACCACACACATACATATACATATACCTATATATATGTATATATATATATATGTATATATACATATATGCGCGTGGCATACTCAGGGATATCACCGTGGACCTGATCAGAAGCTTGCTGGCAAGGGCTAGACCAGGCCGCAGCACCGACTTCGCGACTTACGCGACGCTGATCAATCTAGATTAGATCAAGAGGTCAGGGCGTGCGGCCGTTCTGCGTTCTTCGGACCTGAAGGATGGATGCCCTCTACAGCGTCGTATCCCACTTCGTTTAAATATCCAAATCATCCCCAGAGGTGTTTTCGAGCTGGTGGACCGCGAAAGGATCGCTGGTCTTCAAGTACAGCGTTGGCGACGAGCGCCTGCCGATGCGTGCTCGCGAGGGGCGCGAACGCGGACGCGCGGTCGACTGCCGGGGGATCGCAGCGAGACGCCCAGCCGAGGAAGGGCGCGAAACTTGGAGTTCTCGCTCCGACTTGGGCCTCCACTGCGCCTGTGCGCAGGTCGCCGGGGCGCTCGCCCAAGACATCAAGGAAGTGGGGTTTGACGAGAGAAATCTGGGCCCACGGGGCGGCCCGCCTGCCGCGGCAGAAAGCGGGGGCGCATCGTGCGAGCAAGATGGCGGCAGGATGCTCACCGACGCGCCTTCGGGGCCGAACGCAATTGGCACGGCGGGACCAAGCTGTGGATGACACCTATCGTGGGAATTGGCATGGCTGCTTGCACTTCATGGTCTACACCCGCTAGTGCCGGCCAACCCCATCAAGGGCCGCGGCGAAGGCGAGGGTCGACCTCTCGCCAAAAAGCCGATCTTGCGAAGCAGAGGGGCGTAAGACCATCCGCGGCAACTGCGCCCGGCACGACGGAGGGCCTTGCAACCGTTTCGTCCGCGTTGGCACGGCCTGGGACTTTGAACCTCCTCGCGCTTTCGGAGGAACATTCGTGTGCTCAAGGGCGTCTTCGGCGCGGGGGGCGCCAGAGTAATGCGTCCAACTTCATCGTCGCGTCGTCCCAGAGGAGATCCGCCGCCCCGCGCCGCGGACCATCGGGGGCATCCGTGCGTTCCCAGGGTATGCAACGGGAAGCCGAGTACCCCGTTTTGAGATGATGCCTGCCTGGGAACCCTGCGGGCGGAGAAAGGAAGAGATGCATGTGTGCCGACGTCGTCTTCAGGGTTAGCGGCGAGTGGGCCGACGTTTCGACGCGGCCCCTTTGTGCGCCCACGATGTCCTCGCTGCCCGCGGGAAGCGCAATCCGAATGCGCGCATTTCGAGCGCATTCGTGCCCGGGGCGCCACCTATCAGGACCTCGCACGAAGCGCCTCGCAGCGCCGAGGCCCGGGACATATGGCGCACCGACGAGGCGACTGCCGCCGCAGATCCAGAGCGGCCGCCGGGGTGCAAGTCGCCTCCGAAAATGTCCGAGATGACGCCAACACCCGCAGAAGCACCCCGCAGCGAATCGCCAAGAAGTGCAACAACATGTGACGCGTACGCCGCTGCGTAGGCGGCTCCAGCCATGCGAATGTAATCGCCGCTGCCGAAAGAGGCGCCGCCCGCCTGCGCCAGCGTCCTGGCAGAGGACTCGACCCAGACCGCGGACATTGCCCCTGCGCATTTCAGCGGCATGGCGGCCGACGGCACTGTCGACAACGAACGGTGCGACGCCGTGGGTTCGCCGCCCCGGGCTAAAACAGAGGGCTATTTCCCCGTCGACCCTGGTGGCGATGCCAATCATGTTTGAACAGCGTGCCAGAATTGGGCGCCAGAGAGCACACGCACATTCATCTGTATATGTATATGTATATGTATATGTATATGAAGACGTATATGCACATATATATATATATATATGTATATGTATTTGTATATGTATATATTTATGTACTTGTATATGTATATGTACTTGTATATGTAAATGTGTATGTATATGTACATGTATATGTATATATATATATATGTCTATGTATATGTATATGTCTATGTCTATGTATATGTATATGTCTATGTATATATATATATATGTATGTGTATATGTATATGTATATGTATGTGTATATGTATATGTGTATGTATACGTATATGTATATGTATATGTATATGTATATGTATATGTATATGTATATGTATATGTATATGTATATGTATATGCTTTACCATGGCTAAAAGGCGACAGTATCCGAATTGCATGGATTGACCAGCCCCCCAATCCGAGGGCATGGGCCCCCGCTGTCTACTGGGCCCGGGGGGAAAGCGCCGCCGCCGACGCCGCCGACCAGGCGTGCGGGCGCGGCGAGAAACCGCAGGTACCATTGCTCGAGACGGAGGGCGTCGACCCCAGCATCGCTGACGCGATTGTCAGCCCGCGCTCGGACGAGGAGTCTGGAGACCATGACGAATGCCGCCGCGTCGTGCTGGACATCGCGCGCCGCGCCATCTCCCGCGAGAGGGCCGCGGGCCGCCGGGGCCGCCTGCGAGCGCCCGACCTCGTGGCAGACGCCGGATCTAGCGCGGGCACCTGCCACCATCGCCGGCGACGTGCCCATTCGACGTCGCTCCGGTGCCCCTCCAGGGGTCCGCGGAAACCGGGCGCCGAGAACAGCCGCTCACGCGGCGGCGACCTCAGCCCGAGGCCTGGTAACGCACGAGCCCCTGGCCCAGCGTTGGGAGCAGGGCCCACGGCGCGGGCCACCCTCGCCGCGAGGGGCACCGGCGTCGATTCCAACCCTTCAAAGCATCAACTTGAACATTTAAGTCGGGCGTTTTCCCCTACAGAAGGAATATTCAAAACTATTCAGATAGTATGGGGACGATTCTTAAGAAAATGTTGGAACATGTTTTGAATATTGTTTTTTTGGGTATTTTTCATCCAGAATCGACCTGTCGGGGGACATGCCCGACCAAATTCTACATCTGCAGCCGCCCACTGCGGGGCGCAGCCATCCCATGCCTCCACCAGCTCTGTTCCCGCTGGCGACTCCAGCCTTCCACGGCAGGCGCAGCGCCGGCAGCCGCGCGCTGCGGTGACAGCAACGCAGCCCCATCCCCGCCCTTCGCCCTTGAACCTTCGCCTCGATCTTCCGCGCTTGGGGCCAGGAGGAGGGGCCAGGCCAACGAGGCAGGCTTAGGGGAACAAAAAAGTGGCATAAACATAACAACTCGGAAGTCCATGCGGATTTCTCGGATCGGCGCTGGACCCCCCCCCCCCCTGGCGCGCGGAGCGCGCCAGGGGCGTCGCCGGAGGCGCCGCCGGGGGGCCCCAGCGCCGATCCGAGAAGTCCGCGCGGACCTCCGAGCTTTCCCTGGTTTACGAGGCGCTGTGCTCTGAACCTCTTGTGGGCTGACAGGGTAAACCCTGCGTGATGTGTCGCGTCCTGGCGGCTCTAGGCTTTGAAGGTTCCCAGGAGGTTTACAGACAACTCACTTGTAATCCAGGGTAGGGTCGTTTTTTCATCCCTCAATTTATGCCACTTTTTGTTCCCCTAAGGCTGGGAAGGGAGGGCGGAACCAGCCGTGGTCGGCGCAGGCCTCCAGGCCTGAGGAAGACACGGCTCCCCCTCGGAGGCCGTGGACCAGGCGGCTGCAACATCTCTGAGGGCCAGGCCGAGGGGGCCACCATGCCCCCACCTTGAGAGGTGGTGGCTCCTCTCGGGCTGTCCCCGCTCTTCACCTGCCCCTGCGACTCCAGCCCTCTCGCAGGTATCCGTCCTCCCTCGTGCTTTTATCTCGCTCGTTGCCTTCTGGCTTGTGCTCGTCCTCCTCCCGCTGGCCGCTGGCGGCAGGGGGATGGGCTCAGGGGCTCCGGGCACTTCCTCGACGAAAACGGTCCGCATCGCCGAGCCACCGAGGGGGAGCATCGAGCAGGAACGAGAACTGGTGAGGAGGGAAGGAGGAGAGAAGAGGAGGAAGAGGGACAGGGGACGCGGGGAACAAGGGTGACAACGGCAGAGGAAGGATGAGGATGATGAAGCAGCAGGACGGATGTTGCAGATCTTTGTCAGCTCCCGTGCTCCTCCTCCCGTCCCTGCTTTCCCCCCGTCCCTCCCTTTCAATCCTTCCGTCCACCCTCCCTCCCCCCTATCCCCTCCTCTTCCATTATCACCCTCCATCCTCCTCCTCCATACTTTTTTTTTCTCGTCATCCTTTCTCCATCCCTTTCCTCCCTCCGACCTCGACCTTCTCCTTTCTCCATCACCTTTCTCGCTTGCGATCAATCGCGCGCCATTTTTTCTTCGCGCGCGGCCGCGCGCTCTGTAAAGTAATGCATGAATCAAGACTAACCGCGGCCACGAGCAAGATGGTCGGTGGGGCGAGAAGGGACAATGGAGGAGGTGCAGGAGGACAAAGACGAGGACGAAAAGGGTAACAAGGGCCGAGGCTGTTGGAGTGGCCTCTGGTGGCAGGAGGGTGCGACGGACGCGTCAGGGTGTGCTTCTGTTTCCGATGCTGGTCCTGGCACCCCTTCTCGGGTCGAGGAGATGAGTGGGAAAAGGATGAGGAGGAGGAAGAAGCGGAGGAGGAGGATGAGGAGGACGAGGAGGAGGAGGAGGAGGAGGAGAAGGAGGAGGAGGAGGAGGAGGAGGAGGAGGAAGTGGAGGAGGAGGAGGAGGAGGACGGATGCTCAACGCGAGAGGGGCTCGCAAGAGGTTCACGGAAATGGGCAGCAACGCCATGCGGGCGTTTTTCTCTGGGGCCTAGGTGGAGCACCGTATGGGGCCGCGGTCCTCGTGAGGGGAAAGCCGACATGAAGCGGCGCAGCCGTACGGACGAAATCGCTGGGGCCGTGAGTGGAGCTCCCTATGGGGCCACGTTGCATGTGAGGACAAGCGGGCGCCATCATAGGAGTCTTCGGTGGACTTCCCTCTTGGCCCACGAAACGGGTGGAGCTCCCTACGGTGCCACGAAGCGTGTGAAGAGGTGTGTCGACTTCGGTGGAGAGATGCTTTACCGTCGGTGTGACTGGGGCCAAGGGCCTCGTGGGGACCTTTTGGGGTCTCCTGGGCGCCTTTTGCGGCCTCCGTAAGGTCTCTCGGGGCGGAAGGCTTGTATTGTTTCTTTCATGTTTCCTCTCTTGGGCCCCATCTTGGGCCGTCTTGGGGCCCTCTTGGGCTGTCTTCTGCGCCTCCTGTGCCGTCTTTGGGCGCTTTCCGTCTTGGGGCCGTTTCGGAGGCCTCTTTGGTCGTTTTGGGGTGGTCTTGGGGATTTCTTGGGCCGTCTTGGAGCGTCGGTATGCAGAAAAGGCGAGAACGCCACCACAATCATTCGAAAGCTGGAGGAAAATCCGAGTTTTGTGCCTCTTGGGGCCATCTTGGCAGGCATCTTGGAGGCCTCCTGGGGCGTCTTCGAGCCCTCTTGGGCCATCTTGAAGCCATGTTTGGTGTCTGGGGGTGATCTTTTGTCGACTTGGGGCCTTCTTGGACCGTCTTGGCGGCCTCTTGGAGCCCTCTTGGCCCATCCTGGCGCCCCTTGGACCCCCCAGGAATCAGGCGGGGAGACGCGGGGAGCCCCCAGAGACTTTGGAGATGTGGGCCGGGCCCCCTCCTTCTCCCTCTCCTCCTCTTCCTCCTCCTGCATCCTCCTCTTCTTCCCCCTCTGCATCCAACCCTCCCCCCTCCTTCTCCCCCTCCTTCTCCCCCTCCTCCTCCTCTCCTTCCTCCTCCTGCATCCTCCTCCTCTTCCCCCTCTGCATCCAACCCTCCCCTCCCCCCCTCCCCTTCCCGCCCCCCCCTCCCCGCCCCGGGGCAGGCACCTGGCCCGGGGGAGGCGTGATGCCACATCACGACGGGCAGCGCCAGGAGCAGCTTGGCGGCAGCAGGGGGGGGGGGGGGGGAGGAGGGGCCGGGAGAGCCGCCCATGCGAGCCTCACGTGGGGCGCCGCCGACGAAGCATCCGCGCGGGCGGAGTCCGCCTGCAAGACCCGGGCGAACAGCGCCCCGTCGTCCGCGGCGCGCACGGCGGGGGGGGGGAAGGAAGGCCGAGGGGGCCGGCCGTCTGATCCAGGCGGGCGCCCTGCCCCCTGGTGGCCCTCCCTGCCTGCCCGGGGACCGCCTTCCTCCTCCCGCCTCTGACCGCCTTCCTCTGGAGCCCGGGGACCGCCTTCCTCCTTCCTCCGGGGACCGCCTTCCTCCTGGGAGGTTGCGAGGCGGGGCCTCCGCGCGGCAGGGCCCCCCCCCCGGCGAGGCACAGGGCACAGGGCACGGGCGGGGGCGGAGGGGGGCGCCCCATCAGCGGAGGCGCTTCAGGGGGACTCAGAAAAGGGCCCGCCGCCCCTTCGAGTAGGGAATAGACTATCGAGTTGATTTGCCCCAGAATTGATGTTTCTGGCCAGGACCAAGGTTTCTCGTGGATCTGACGGGGAAGATCAGTTTCATTATGTAGTCGCTCCCCAACTCGAAGGGGCGGAGGGCCCTTTTCTGAGAGGCCCCCTGAAGCGCCTCCGCTGATGGGGCGCCCCCCTCCGCCCCACCCGCCTTGGCCCTGTGCCTCGCCGGGGGGGGCCCCCTCTGCCGCGCGGAGGCCCCGCCTCGCAACCTCCCAGGCGCGCTCTGGCCGGCCCCCCGTGGAGGCCGCGGTCCCCTGGAGA